TCCAGTAATTGCTTAACTCGTAGCTCACCAACGAGGATCACTGCTTCAGTTGATTTCTAAAAATTGATAGATTTTATGAATAAAATTAAGTTAAAAACAGCTTGACATGCTCAGTGATCTATATGGATCTAATTAAAGTTTCAAAGTTCTACCTCGTAGATGTAAGGCGGAAATTCAGCACCATCAGGTTAATACCAACTAATGTCAATCCCGTCAATGGAGTACTGAGGATTGTCTTTATGGAAAGGTTTCACGATTCCCGTCAACACATTAGAAAGCATAAAAAATAGGATTGATTTTGCGCATGGCATGCTTACTCCTTGACACAATAAACAGATGATTCAAAATTCTGTGTGATGAAAATTTACTAAAAGTCCACACTAAAGCTAGAGACATACATGTCTCATTAAGTCTTGAACGCTCACTGATATAGATTTCTTGTGTGGTGTTTATGATTTACTGGGATTTGACTTTCTTCTACCATTTCCAGTTTGTATAACGGACTATTTTCAGGCAAAATACCTGTCTTAGAACAAAGGATAAGTTTACTGGTTTAGATTTCCTGTGTGGCACAATTTTTATTTATCAGACATATTTTCCTTTGTCATTTTGTTATGATGTCTATAGTACCAGACAGAGTTACTTGTCACAGGACTAAAGATACGTTTGCCATTCTCCTCGAAATAAGGCTGACTAACTGCTGTTATGCATGAGCCAATATGTAAAAAAATAATATCTATGATGACTAAGACTAAAAACGCTTTGATCCACTGTGCTACAGCGTTCCTAAAAAAATAAACAGAAGAGGATCACAAAAATTCTTACGCAGAAACATTTAACGATTATACTATAATTACCATAGCAACGACATAACTGATTGATAAGAGGGACGGAAAATGGAGGATAATTTTTGAAAACGAGGTTCTTCCCTCTAGGAAACTTAGGCAGCCAAAAGTAGTGAGGATATCAAAGATATAAAAGAACAGAAAACCCTAATTTCTAAGAGAGGGTGAATACTAAGGATAAATCTTTTGGCTCCGTACAAGCAAAAGCCAACACCGCAAATTCAAATTCGATCTGAAAACAGTGGACAGGAAAAACCACCTAGTGAAATGTTCATTGTTAAATACGGTCACCATTTATGAATCAGTTACTGGAAATGTGTTATGGCAAGCAAACTTTATCAAGGTATATAAATAAATTGAAACTTGCTTTTAATCTCGGTCTCGTCAAAGATCACTTTGCAACAATTTGTATGAGAAAAAAGCTTCGGAAAGAAGCCGTACGCTTTTTATTTTTATTTTTGTCATCTCTGCAACGTGAGCGTGATAAGTGCTAGTGACGGCGTGAGCTCTTTCTGAGCGCTGGCACGTATGTGACTGTGATAGGAGTGACAGCTCTTCCAGAAAAATCTTTAGAATGAGGTGATTACTGTAAGACTATCCTGACTTGTTCTTAAAGCAAACTGAATTGATAGGTGAATAATAAATTGCAAGAACATTTGTTCTTGTTTATCATAGCATGAGGATCTGTCTTTTCCATGTCATTCACGCGCGGGAAACGCAATCAAAAGAGTCAACTCAAAAAGATCGAATTTCTCACAAACCTTCAACCCGAGTCAAAACTTGAAGGTCCAAAGAACGCACTGTTTAGATCCTAATTCAAACTGCTTCAAAATGTCTTCTGTACATCCACAGCCACTCGAGCCCTCATCAATTCTTAAAATCAGCGAGGATGGAGATCATGTTACGAAAGGCCGATCCTCTTCAGCAAGCTGCGATTGTTGTCACAAAAGATATCTTAGATGCAATTTTTGAGTATGGCAATTTCTGTTATTGCTATTTGCAATACTCGTCATCGTGAGCAAGAAAGAAAGCTACTCTTGAAGAAGATTATAAAGGTATACGAAATTGAATGTCTCATTTGAAGATGAGTGATTTTTTCAAGGTCACAATGTCTGGCCGCACAATTACGTATTGTGAAACTAAGAAGTTAGTTAGCACTCGCCAAAATCAAAATTACCACCTGAAAATTGTGTGCGTGCACATGCTTGATAGTATACCAAAACATATGTATCTCTTCGGTATTTGTTTGTTTGTTATTGTTATAATTTTTTTAATTTTATTATTATTGGTGTCTATTTAACATATCTTTATTTAGTTGAAATCGAAAATCGTCGTAGGAGTAATGATGCCATGTTCCACGGTTCCGGAAATCAATAACGCTTTTCGTTGAAATGCAGTCTTTTCTGAATAAGAGTAGTCATCGTTATTTCTATAGCAAGAGATCTTCACCTCGAAGAGGTCTCGATTTTCGAGTGTTTGCACTTTTAAAGAAAAGTGTGTTGTACTCACCAACAGAAAAGTGAGTTAGTAAGGTTTTGTTGCTTCCCAAACAATATATTAAATAAGATTGACCTAAGAAAAATTACACTTGGCGCAATCCTGTCAAGTACACCGATTGTAAACGCCGAAGGGCCATTCAAATCACTCACAAACCGTTCAAGAAGCCGTTTTTGTGTCAGTTGTAACACAAAAATGGTATGTCAAAGGCACCGTGATTAATTAATTTTGAGGGCTTCGAATTAAGCAAGTCCTCCATGTGAAAAATTGCGTCAAAGTGATTAACTTAGAAAACAATGTCGAATGTACGCTTGACATGCACACACGTACATCTATTGTGTGACCGGAGTTGGTTGCGCGTGAAAACGCCTTGACCATGAAAGTTCTTTAAATGTGGTTTGTTTAAAAACATAATTTCCTTAGGAGGCTCTTGTTTCATAAGCTTTCCATAAACGTGAGGTGTTGTAGGACTGGTGATGATTCTAACTTAGCTTGCACAGGGTACAGCGGGTATTAAGACGATTATATTAGAAAATCAAGACCTCGAGATAGTTTCGAAACCCCTAGACGGGATAAATGGTCAAGAAAATAACAACAACAGCAAAAATAAAAGGCAAAATAAACAAAACCAAGACAAAACGTTAAAAAAAATTAGATATGCGAGACCCTCACTAATCACCTAGCAACTTTGTTTGAACTTTTGACAACTGCTATTTAAACAAAGTATGTGCAACTTGGCTTTCAGATTAAACAACACGGCGAATGAACTTTCCTTGCGTGATCTTTCATGTTAGGTGTTAATTTTCTTTGTCTGCCTCAAATTAGGGATTGATACCTTAACTTTGAATAGTACGTAATGACTTTTAGGAAACTAAATCGCTTACAGAAAGTTTAGATGATAAAGCCCTTCAATTATAAAGTTAATATCATTTTACTTTCCGACAAATTCTAGAATGGGACTCTTCACTTGAAGTGATTTACTCATAGAGTGAGAAAAACATTCAACATTTAGATTTGTTTACCCAACTGAAAAATTATAAAGGCATTCGATGTACGCTCGAGCTCGTACTAACAGCTTTCCAATGGTTTGCATTTGTAACATGACTTCTGTTAAAGAAATATTGGTCGACGGAAAATTAAGCGTGCATTATATCACAGTGGATCCACTAAAATGTGGTAAACAGAAAGAACAGTTACATAGTTCGTGATGTTTGTTCTTCTTGAAAATTTCCACCGCAAAAGTGGAGGTCTCGTGCTGCAGGAAAGAAAATAAAATATGTTGACTTTGAGCTGACGTAACGTGGACGCGAAGGAATGCTGTTTCATGTCAGACTTTTTTGTTGAAAGCAGAGGCGGGTGCATACGAAACCGACCTTTGAGTTTTCATCCATATTTCATTTTGGCTTTAATTCCGTTTCATAATGTTAAAATATATTAATCTAGCTTTGGTTCTTTCTCATGAGACGATTGGATTGCGCGTTGTATGAGGACATTCTATGTATATAAAATAAATCATGATCAAAGATGACAGTGAAATGTGAAAAGAATTCAATTATCGAACTTTCAACGCCAAAACTAATTATAGCTCACAGAGGAAATTGTCTTTAAATTGTGGTCACGTTTCAATGTTACAGAGAGGCAAACTGTTATATTCTAAAACGTGCTGACTAAAACTGTAAATGATCGGTTTTATGATGATTTGCAAAGACAGTTAGTTATCTCCGACAAGAAAGAGTAATGTAAGGATATTGTACATCACCGTCAGTGAATGAAGATTACAAGTACGCATCGCATAGATTACTGGATCAGAATTGGAGGTCGTGAACTGCTCCGAAGTAAAACATTGCGCAAGCATTAAGCAAGGTTAAAACAAAAGTTGTTAATTCTGTTGTATTTTCTCGGAGAAATTCGTATTTCAACGATTTTTCCCAGTAAAATTTAGGGTGATAAAGATAGTTGTAAAGATAAACTAATCAAGCATGATATTTGCTCAAATATGCTTTAGTTGCAGATGATATTTCTGTTCTTATTACACTGAATCTCAAGAAACAGAATGAATTTTGTGAATTTGAAATTTTGATGCAAAGCGCCTTAAATAATATTTACTGAAGACATTAAGCGGTGATAAGAACGAGAAGCTGCGTTTGGGAAAACGTTCTCAGACAGATCTAACAATACATAAATAAATGTTATCGACAATCTTTTTGCGTTGCGGGACGTAACAAGCAAGCGTAGCACCTCTTCTATTGAAATGTCATTCAACGACCATCCCAGCATCCTTTGCGACACTATGTCTTGTCATACTATGTCTTGTCTAGGGAAACATGTAAATCAAGTCAGCCGTGTATGCGTGACCAATGTAGTTGTGTACGTTACAACGACACTTCTTTAGAGATTCACTGTAGGAGTTATAGATGACTATAAGATTGTCATATATGTTTCAAAAAAGAGCTCTGTGGTTTAATTTTTGGTGGGGTAAATGAAAAACAGCCATGTTACTGAGGCTGAAGGAGGTTTTCCTTCCTGTCATTTGGTAGCGAACTCAGTCAGAGAAGTGTTATCGGTATGTCATAGTTTCGAATAAAGCTATAAAGAGGAGGTTCGACCCTTCAGGGCCTGCAAGGATACTGCACGGAAACTGCAATGATTACTGATGAAATGACTACCAAGAGCAAATTCGACAGCTCGACAACTCTGAGTATATGCGAAGAGGGCTTCGGGGTCACAAAGGAAAAGAGTATTTTGCAAAAGACATGCACTTTTCGAGTATGGCATATTCTATTACTCTTGACCATGATACTCACCATTATAGCAGTTGTCGCGGGTGTATCGGCAAAGTATGCCCCTGTATCAGGTACTGCATTGATATTTGTAATTAAACTTCCTTTGAAATGTTCTTTTTTCTATTTTTTTTTCCGGAAACAGTTGCCATAATGGCAACTTAACCGAATGCTACGTACGATATAATATTCTCTTTTTCTTGTTGGTGCGAATCTCAATAACCTCTGAATATATCGAGGTAGAGACTTTGAGGTTTTATAAAATCATTTTGGAATGAGATATTGGCTCTTTGAAGCTTCAGTATTCCGGTTTAGATTTAGATATCCCGATTGTTCAAACGCTTCTCTCTAAGCTGCCTGGCTAGAAGTTACGTTCTCGTGATAGTGATAGAGGTGTATAGATCTTAAATTGTTCCGAAACCAGCGGTCTGAGTTGTTGCTGCTAAATGAAATTATTAAACTGTGATGCGATACTTTAAAACACAAGACAACAACTGAATTTTGAATTGATGTAGCTCTACAGTTCGTGATTCCCTTCAGCCTATCCCGATCTATTGCGAATGAAAAATTGAAACTGTTGAACGGAAAACGATCGGATTTTCATGAATAATATTTTTAATGAATTATAATTTGATTTTTTAGCCTTTCTTTTCTGTTGAAAGTATATTTTCTGTTTTAAATTAAGAAATGTACCAAGATAGTCAATTTTTCCCCTAGTTTCCAAGCATAGACACACCTTGGGCGGGAAAATTTCATCCCGGAAAATTCGTTGTCATTACGATTCACGCGGAATTTGGTTACCGATCTCATGATCGCCGCTCGCAAAGCAGGTTGATCAAAGTGCCGGTTCAGTTTCATCTATACCAAGCTTTCTTTAATCGTGGCAATCAGTTGCCTCTCAGGAAGGGAGATGAAGAAAATTGCCTGTAGCTACAATCCACTGATTGCTCTAAATTGTGTAAATCGGCGTGATGGGGAGTTTGACGCCTGCATATTCCTTATACTAAGAAGGACTACTTGAAAAGCACCGAGAGAATTTAAGCAACCGCTGAAATTCAAACCTTTGCTACGACAACTAAAACATCAATCACACCTAGTCCAAAAACAAACATAAAAAATTACAAAATATTAGTGCAACTCCATTTCAGAGGCCACAGGCCAATCCCCCATCCCCCCATAGATTTAAAAATACGTACTTAGACCAGTATGGGAGAAGTATGGGCGGGATGATGCGCAGTATTGCCCTATTTTAAATGTTACGCAATATCGTCATGTCATGCAGTGACGCTAGGAAGCGTCAAATACCGCATCGTCTATTATTTGTAGCCATCAGAATCATTTACTGTCATCTTGACAATGAAGGCAAAAACAGGAAAGTTATTTCATTTTGATGTTTCCAGGAAAAAAAAGACAAAAACAAAAAAAACTGCTAAGCGAATGGTTAATTTTTTTCATTATCTTATCAGAAGATGAAGGGACAGGCACAACCAAAGAAACGGACGTTACAACTAAAGAGAAACCAACAGAACCTTCGGCCCCATCCAAGGGAACTGAGCCGAAACCCAGTCAGAAACCAACAACTCGTCAGGAAACAACGGTGAAAACTACGCCTTCTTCTACTACTACTGAAACAAAAGCCAGTGTACAACCCTCAACCGACGCACAAACGACGGTAAAAGTCACACCTACCACTGTAGCTCCCGCCTCAGAAGCAACGACCGAAACCACGACAGGACCTATAAAAACGCAGGATACTACCACAGCACAACTAACAACCACAGAAAAACCAACTACTACTGCTCCACCAACAACCACTGCTCCAACAACCACAGCACAACCAACAACCACAGAAAAACCATCAACTACTACTCTGACAACCACAGCACAACCAACAACCACAGAAAAACCATCAACTGCTGCTTCATCAACAACAGATAAACCATCAACAGCTGCTCCAACAACCACAGCACAACCAAAAACCACAGAAAAATCATCAACTGCTGCTTCATCAGCAACAGATAAACCATCAACAGCTGCTCCAACGACCACAGCACAACCAACAACCACAGAAAAACCATCAACTGCTGCTCCAACAACTGCAGAAGAACCAACAACAACTGTTGCAGTTACAGCTACTGGCACATTGACCACAGTGAAACCAACAACTACTGTTTCAGCATCATCTGCTGGGCCGACAACGGCAGCACCTACCACGGACCCTCAAAGAAATATTATAGAGTGCGACACAGCCATAGTTGGAGCAGGTAAGAACTGGATATCACCGTTTGGCATCAAATTCTGCAAGGGATTGTTACTCTTGAGTATCATAAACGTGTACTGTTCAAGTCTCTTAACCCTTTATTTTTCCTACTTGCCACAAATTTATTTTGAAGTAATTAAGGGAATTTGTTATCATATCAGGATAACACTTTCAGATAACACCCTTGTCACGTTTTCAGATAGTTTTTTGATATTGTTATAGAAAGTCAGACATTGCTCAAGTAATTATGTTGGTAATCTCTTCAATTCTTTTTAAAGTCTATTTTCTAAATTTATAGGTGCGGGTGGCTTATTGGTGGCATATTCACTTTTGGACAAGACGAATGAAACACACGTGTGCGTCTTTGACACAGAGGACAGCGTTGAAAACGTTCATGACATTGTTTTTCCTCAAGTACCGGATGTTTCAGTTGGTAAGTTTAACATAACACCAAGAGTCAAGCTGTATCTATGTAGCCATCGATAGCTATCGTTGAATTGAGGATTAAAAAGTTATTTCACATCATTTAATCGCTCCAACAACGTATGAAGACAACGTTTCCCTTTTTTCTTTTTTTTTTTTTTTTTTTCAGGCTTAGGGCAGTGGGACATTACCGATGAACACTATGCAGAAATGTAAGTGTTAATTTATCTCAGACTTATTTCTTAGTTGGTAGTCAATAACTATGAATCTTGACAGTTTTTTTTTTTTTAAAAGCTCGAAGACACCTAAGAACCTTTAAGAGTACAAAACTGTGTCGTGATAAGTAAGCCATTTCATAATATTTCCTTAGGAGTGAATGCTGACTATGAAATATGTAACATAAGGATACCCAAGCATAGATGAGCTATCTGAAAAGAACTGATCCCCACAAGTAAACTGCAGCCGGAACTTATTTGTCTTTAGGCTTCGAAGGGATTGGAACCTATTCCCCGCTGATACGAATTAGGCGCCATTGCTAACTGAGCAACACCTTGAGAGCAAGGCAAATTTTCGTTGCTTCTGTATCATGCGCATCTTAAACTCTGATTTGTTTCATTTAACCATGCACATCAAAGAATAAAGGAGAAAAAAAAAACAGAAACGAATTAGGAGGGCCATGAATGGAGACCATAACATCACATCGCAAATTAAAATCATTGAGAGGTTATAACAGAACGTAAACTACGAACAAATTGTGATGTAGACAAAAATTTGAAGGAGATGAGTACGATTCAATTAATATCTGTTTTCATTTTTAGGGACCTTTTCTTTCATTTATTCCACGGCATTGATGTCGCGTGGAATCCAAAAATTAAACGTGTTGAAGCTCGTGGACAGTATGCAAATAGCTTTGATGATTTGAAGTTAAATGCCTTTCCAACTTTACGGGACCGTGCGCCACTCAACAATAAATCACTCAGGGAAGCTGCAGATTTCATCTCTAAAAATCAGAGAAATTTCACGCAGTTCTCAACCGCGGAGACTTTCCTTTCGTACGAACTGTCCCCGGAGGGAACCAAGATTATGGCAGAAAAGTTTGGCTTCAAGGGTGACTACATGCAAGCCATAAATCCAATGAGTTATAGAGCTTATCTTCAGGAAGAACTACATGTTACCTACCCATCGTCAGAGACCAGAAGACCTCCTAATTCCAAAGGAATGTCCGAAATTGTCACAGAACTTAGAAAAAAAGTGGAAAGTAGAGGCCGTAAAATTTCTTTTGATGAGACAGTTGTTTCTATCAACAAAGAAGGAGATAAATTTCTTCTTCAAACTACCAAATTAACTGTGAAAGCCAATAAAACAGTTATCACCGTTGGACCAGCTGCTCTAAAGAAGATCGAAGGTGACGTCATTCAGAATATTACTAGTCATCAAATATTTGAATCAATTGTTGGTGTGCCTGCTTTCTATGGAGCAGCGGTATATGATAAACCATGGTGGAATGATACAACTGCCACTCAAAAGAACAACAGTTTGCAGCCTTTGGAGAAGTTCATATCCAGCAGTGACTGCCTGGGAATTACCATGCCTTACAAGCCAGTACTCATAAATCGTTACAACCTTCCATAAAGTTTCAAAATAATGCGTCAATCAATTCGAAGCCTCAATATCTCCACGGTGAATCCTCCCTCGGGGTATTTGAACTATTTAAGAATGGTTTACTCAAATTCCCGCCCCTGGGCCAAAATTGCGTCAGCATGCTCCACTCAAACACAATTTTTTATCGAACGAGTCTTTGTGTGATCGACGAATGTTAAAGAATTTAGCACTCACTTACTTAATTTTTTGGGCCGCTGTTGGATTTTTCTCTTGTAAGCATCATTTTACAATGTGAGAGTATTCTTCTAAGCCACTCGCCCACGAAAGCGGACTCTCAACTTCTAAACTTCTCCTTTAAAATCAAAATACGTATTACACGGATTTAAATTACACACGCTTCTCAGACAAGGTTCGAATTCCCTACCTCCGGGTCGCGAACAACGGTCAAATTTCCATGGGTTGCCCCGGGGGATGTTGAAACATCGAATTGATCGGTGCATAATTTCCCTCTGCGTAAAAAAGCTGACTTCTACAATGTTCTTAGTATATCTTATGGGCTAGCAAGTTTAATCCCAATTGTGAAATAGCATCAAAAGGTTTGCCCATTTATATAGAAAAAAGGGGATTGAAAATTGGAAAAATTGGGAAATATCACTCGGATACTCCCGAGCTGGTCTATGATGAAGCAAATAAAGCCAGGTGGTGTTTTTTGACATATCACGCTCGTGCCAAAATAATTAATGAACTACATATTATTATTGTGACTTATCACTCAAAAGCCTGTTCCTGTTCCTTATTTTTGTGGTAGAGGTAATGGAACCAGCGGAAAAGTTGTGTTACACACAATAGCTAATAATGGAGGATGTAGCGATAAGTGGGGGAAACTTTTGGAGATTTCTAAATCTAATGATGTCATCGACAAAGAACTGAAACGCGCTCTGAAGTACAAGTTTCAACGTGATATTCCAGATCCTTTGGAGACTGTTTACAAATATTGGAAGGAAGAGTTTTGGTAAGTGCAGTGTTGAAAGATAAAAAAAAAAAGTATGATAATCATTTATTATTGCTTTTGTCTTATCAAAAACGCCATTTCTGATAAAAATGTTCTTAAGATAGTTTTCCGCTCGATTCTTAAGTTGTAATATCTTTTTCTCGTCAACAGCAAACAGCAATGATCTGCGTTTGGTTTCGTCTCAAAACCCATGCTCTAAGTTTTCGAATTTGTATAATGCGTATTCATTGCAGGAAAATGTGAGATCATATCTCCTTTTTCCGTATGGTCTCTCCTATTGATATCTGCTGAACACAATGAGTGTGAATGTGGATGAACGAGTGGCCCTCGATTTTCCGCCCGCAGTCGTTTCGTTTAGCAGATATTTAATAGAGAGCTCTTGAGAAGGAGAGAGAGATCCGTTGTCAACGAGCGAGTGCCAACTTTGCTCACTTTCGACAGGTTCAATTCTGCGCCATTTTTGTTCTGTTTTGTTTTTGTTTTTTTAATGAAGAGTTCTGATTGTTAGATTTCATTATTCAATGACGTAGGTTTTTTCAGAAGCCTGGGGCCAACTTTAGTTCAACGACCATTCAGCAATGGGCAAGACGACCGCTAGCTGGACAAGATGTGTTCTTGGTGAACAGAGCGTATTACAATTTCGGTGGATATCTGGAATACACCATACGATCTGCTCTTGAGGCCGTAAAAGAGGGTTGGAATTCTGAGCTTCCATTCGCTGTATGAAGCTGCTGACTACTTGGATTTCATGATTTATGATGTCTGGCAAGAAAAGAACATTATACTTTTGTAAAAGATGGGAAAACTATGACTTAGAAAGTATTTAGTTTAGGTGACTTTGAGTCGTAAAGTTTGTCGAAATTCAATTAAGCATTATAAATAGTTGTAATTTTTATATATCCCATTTAAATAAGACTTCTTTATTGACGTCAATGATAATCATTTAATATTTCCTCGATGATTTCTATTGAGGTATTTTATGTGGCTTTGTCGAGTGTCAGTATGCAAATAGAACAATCAGAGTGATCTCCATGCATTTATAAAGAGATGTAAAACTAATTCGTTCGTTAGGGAAAGAGGAACATCGTTGTAGAGTGTAACTGATAGATTTAAATAATTAATAAAGTATTCTCATTCGTTACCTGTCCCGAAAGTGTCTCGTTTGTGTCTTTGCACTTTGAGAAGCTCTTATTTTGATAGCGGCTTAAGTAGCGTTCATGCTCGGTTTAGTTAGCGGAGGGGTGGCCATGTTGGGGGAGAGCTCTTCCTTTTCGAGAGGTACTGCATAATGAAACCGAAGACCGACGAATTCTAATATAAAAAGACATGGGGATGACGGCTAACTCATGATACGTTCGGCACCATATGCTGTGTGCGCGTGAGGCGTCGAAATGGCATTTTACTGTAACAAGCCGTTAGTGACAAACTTGTACCAATAGTTTGACTGGTACTTAACGACGCATGTGCATAGCATAAAATTTATGTCACTGGCTTAAAATAATATTGAAAACCTAAAAGGAAATACTAAATTAAAAACCAAAATGTAAAAAAAAAAAAAAACTAAAAGACCTCCAACAAGCATACTTTATGAAGTTGTCTCTGTTGAATGAATTCAAACTTACAGTTTGTACAGTTGGTATAGCATGTCTATGATACTCTCTATCTTACAAACACATTTAGAATTTATTTGAACGTTTCCTAGCCTGATATCTGTTTGCATCAACGTAAAGTTTCCAACCCCTACTAATTGTACCATTCGTGTTCATGCCGTGGAAAAGCAAGTTTCCCCATGACAGATTTTCAGATTCGGTCACCCTATTACATACTTCTCACTTAACACAAGAAATAACATGTTTCAAAATACTATGTAATGAAAATTTAAGGTCCACACAAAACAAAATACCGGAGACATACATGTCTTATTCAGTCTCGCACGCTCACCAACATATATTTCTTGGGCGGTGTTTCTTAGCAACCAGGATTTGATTTCCTGTACCATTTCTAGTTTGTATAGGGGACTTCTATTTTCAGTCAAACTTACCTGCCATAGAGCAAAGGATACGTTTGGCATTTTTCTTGAAATAGGGCTGACAAACTGCTGTGATGCATGAGCCAATATGTAAAAAATAACATCTATGGTGATTAAGATTAAAAACTCTTTGATCCACTGTCCTACAGTGTTCCTAAAAGTCAACAGAAAGGGAAGATAAAAAGTTTTAAACAGAAAACTTAAATGATTTTCACAGGCACACAGAAAGCATTTTGAATAGAACACTAAACAATTTGCTTTTTTGCATAGTATTTTGATTAGACTTTTTCTGGTTTCCTTTGTTTTCAATATACATACTGCAGTTGTATTTTAACCCTTTAGACCCTAACATCAGTATGCATATTCTCCCTTCTCTAATCTATAGATTTCATTAAGCGTTGAAAAATCACTACGTGCCAGGAAGATTTTGTTTTGCAAATGCCTTTTGGTAAAAATCCGACCATCAAATAGCTGCATAATACCTGAGTATTATGCAGCTATTTGATTGTCGAGTCCCGTACGGGCCTGAATTTTTTTAGGCCTTATTTTCACTACTGCTCAAGTAGTGTTCATTACTGCAAAGATCGCTTTCATATTCGCGTCTTTACCTGCAGATCAAATATATGACTTTCATATATTCATAGTCGTTTATTATCATTATAATTATTATTTCAATGCACCAGTAGATTTTATAATTACTATAACAACGAAAAATATATATATTTGATTGACAAGAGGAACGGAAAATAGAGGAAAATTATTGAAAACGAGATTCTTCCCTCTAGGAAACCTACGCAGCCAGAATTAGCGAGGATATTAAAGATGTAAAAGAACGAAAACCCTAAGTTCCAAGAGGAGAGGGCAAATACTAAGGATAAATCTTCCGGCCCCTTATTGGCAAAAGCCAGCACTCCAAATTAAAATTCAATCTGAAAAGAGTGGAAAAGAAGAGCCACCTAGTGGAATATCCATAGTTAATTTTCCATCTATAATTATTATTACTATTATTGCTATTATTATCATTTTTATTATTATTATTATTTTTTTATTACTAGTATTAAGCTCCTTCCAACACAATGTGCCAAAAAAGTAAAACTATGCCATTTTTAGTATTTTACTGGTTGTAGAATAAATCATGAGGAATAATATCCGTACTAATCAGTTTATAGATGTCTGTGGAAAATCAAAGTGCTCTGTGAGCAAACTCGTGAATTGACACGATTTTTTGGATTATGTTTAATGTTATCTGGTTTAGGGAATTTTGCGGTTGATTGTCATATCTAGAGTACGAGCAATAGTTGAGCGTTCGCAGCAAAGAAACAAAGTAATGTTGGGATAAGAAGGCATTACAGTTGAAATGATCATGCTATTACATTTGAGAAGGGTGGATGACGTCATGTGTTTTAAACGTATATCATTTTTGTTTTTGGTTCAAAAGAAAAGGTTGAAGTAAATGTGGGTGAAAAGTGAAATTTACTGTCTATCATTGTAAATATTAGAAAACCAAGGCAATACTGTCTTAATCAAAACATTAACGATTCCCTCTTTATCAAATCAGACAAACGGGAACGAGTTTTGAGTGATATAACTAAGCTAAGACTGCCACCGTCATTTTGGATCTCCGCCTGGGTAGATTTTAGTCACGTGCTAGGCAACGTATATTCGAGAACAAGATAGAATTTCATTTCAGGCCTATTTATCAATTTTGTGGTGTATAACTTTCGCATGTTAGTACGTAATATTTATTTTGAATCTTCAAATTGTCTTGAAACTTAAAAGAAAATTGTTCTTTAAAAATTCACTGAAAATCGGTAGCTAAAATTGTTTGTTTAGGTGTTATTTGATTTTCGTGATAACTTGTAATTTCCTCAGTCGCCGGTATCTTCTGCTGAAAAACACACGATACGAAACGTAATGATCGATTTTGTCCTCAATCTCACTCAAAGGATTCAAATTCATCTGGGTTTTTGTTTGTTCTTTTTTCCAGAGGATGAAAAACTTCGTCAATATCAGTGCGCAACAAACGCAAACCAAGACCCTGTTCTAAAGCCGCGGTTACACGAGCTTGCGATGACAAGTTTCATTCGTGACCATTCACACAAATTTCATTTGGTTTCATCACTCTTTGTCAGTCTCTCAGTTGCGACATTCTGTGTCTTGACCGACCCTCCCTGAGTAACAAGTGACCTTGAACAAAAAGTGACTCCCTACTCCTCCTCAGGGTAAGATTTGACATAAACGCGTTTTCGCTAATATTCAAATTTCGCGCTCGTGCAGTAATCCGCTATGTTTGAATTTACCTCGTGAATTTCGTTATTGTAATGGCAGCGAGTTCGAATTTCCCTCGTGAATTAATAAGCCATTGTTTGGCTCTAAAGCTATTGTTTCAAGATATCCTTTTATGGATATTTGAGATACTAAACAAAGGGCATTGTCTTTGAATTTGATCAGCTTTTCTTGATACGCGCCATAACAGAAATAGCTTTTGAACATCTGTAGACTCCGAGCGCTTCGCAGTTAGTGATATTTTCAATGAATCTTCGGATTGTTTTCAAGTTCAAGGACTGTAAATTTTAATTTTATGAAAAACGAAGACGGTTGTCCTGTTATTTCAATGTGAATCCTTGCATGCCTGCCAGTCGCTGGCGCCGCTTGTTGAAACTAAAACGGAAAAAAAAACTATTTTAAGATTATCATTGGCTTCTTTTTCACCCCACCACTATTCTTAGCAACAAAGATCGCCATTTCGTTTGTTTATTACTCTCCAAAAACTATCAAATGCACTCAAAAGCCTAATATCGAAAAAAAGTTTACAGGAATCGACCAATCGAGCGAGCGAGCGAGCGAGCGAGTGCCATTCTCCACATCATATCTACAACTCGCTCTTGCGCATGCGCGCAATTCACGAGTTAAAAAGGGAAATCATGATATCGTTTAGCAATATCTGTTTGCACAAAGCAATTTATGGGTTAGTATGCACCTCTACTTTGTGAGCGCGGAATCCAAAGGTCTGAGTTTCGATTCCTCATGGGGACTCAAAAGTTTTTCTTTGTCCCACGCTCGAGACAAGACGAAAATAACAACTTTCTCTACCTTAATTTGTAATTTGTTTTGCAAAACGGGCTTATTTGTAATTTGATCATATCTATATAGTTCATCTGAATGTATTTAAGAGACAAGTTTGACACTTCCAGTTTTGGAAAAAGTTAACGGTCATCATTTATGAATCAGTTATTGGAAATGTGTTAAAGCGAATAAACTTTAGCAACATACATTATGTTCCATGTTTTTCCTAATGGCATAGAAATAGATTGAAACTTGCTTTTAATCTTGGTCACGTCAAAGGGAACTTTGTAACAATTTGTGTGGGGAAAAAGCTTCGGAAAGAGGTTATCTTACCTAGAGCCTATTACTCCAAAAGTGCTCGTTATTGAAGTAAGGAATTGAAAACATAAAATGACCTGAGGGCCCAAACCTTGGGTACAAATCATTTTCAATGGCAAAAATTTGGAGTACGGACTCCTTTCTAGGCGGGTCCGCACCCAATTTTTCTGCCGTATGCTTTTCATCTTAAGTTTTTGTTGTCTCTGCAACGTGAGTGTGATAAGTGCTAGTGAGTGCGGGAGCCGCGTTCTTAGCGCCGGCGTGTATGTGACTGTGATAACTGGTGACAGCGCCAGCCCTTTGTGAGAGGGATTGACGAAGGGCAAACGCTCGAAACGTCAGCCTTTAAACTCTTTCCGGTGGCCAATTTACGTTTTCAAATCAGTTGTTAACTGTTACTTGCTATACTTTCCCACCGCAGCACCACAGTTTCTTTAGAAACTAACCCCCTTTATATTTTGTGGAAATTCTGATTGTTCTTTGTAAACGAATGGAGTCGGAGTGGGGTCTGCGCCGATGGTAGGCTTCGTCTGTGACAAACAGGTGAATGAATATGATTTGAAATATCTGAGTCACAGAAAAGGTGGATCTTGAATTTAGGCCTCAAATTGGTACAGCAAAAACATCCAGCAAATACATCCTGATTAACAGTATAGAAATGATCAAACGTAGAGGTGCATACTAAACCCATAAAATATTTAATGCTAATCCCTTGATTTCCTTTTTTTTCCTCAATCATCTACTGAAACTGAATAGTACTATATTACTCCTTATGACTTATTCTATAGCCAATAGAATACTCAAAATGGCATAGTTTCCCTTTTTGGCACATTGTGTTGGAAAGAGCTTAATAATCACGATAATAATAATAATAACAATGATTATAACAATAATAATAAAAATGATGATGGTAGCATTAATGGTAATAATGATAATAATAATAAAGATAATGATAATATTAATACTGGACAGGAATTTAACAATGAACATTCCACTAGGTGGTTCTTCTTGTCCACTGTTTTCAGATCGAATTTGAATTTGGGGTATTGGCTTTTATAAGGGGCCAAAAGATTTTTCCTAAGTATTCGCCCGCTCCTCATGGAACTCAGGGTTTTCGTCCTTTTACATCTTTGATATCCTCTCTAATTCTGGCTGCCTAGGTTTCCTATAGGGAAGAACCTCGTTTTCGATAGTTTTCCTTTAATTTCCGTCCCTCTTAGCAATCAGACATATTTCGTTGCCACGGTAATTATTAAATCTGCATTGAAAAAAAAAAAAAAGCTGATATCAGTAATTTTCTCAGTTCTTAAACCATTCCTTCTCTTGATATTTTTCAAGTATTTGTTTCTCTCTCTTGAAATCTGACAAACTTAGTGGCTTTCCACTGCCGCCGATGAATTGTTAAAACCAGACATAGTTTGATGCTATCGGCTGGTTTGCAGATTTAATGAATGTAACCGAAGAAGTTACAATTCATAGACCCTCTATGAATTGTAACTTCTTCGGTTACATTCATTAAATCTGAAAACCAGAGTAGCATCAAACTATGTCTGATTGTCCACCTAGTTGCCGTGTGAACTTAAATATATTTTAATTGTTAAGCCGTTAGTATTTTTTTAACGTTTAGCGGAATTGTTTGGCTAATTATCCCATCGTTTAATTTTTCAGACTTCCTCAAAATCATCGATCTTGAAAAGCAGGGGCATACCGTGAGGTTCTTAAGGTGTGCAGATGAGTAGAAAAATATCAAGCGGCGAAGTAGCAAACTACTGAGGCTGATCAATACAGCCCTGAATCGGGAATCAAACAAGAATAAAGAAAATTATTCAGTATTAAAGGATTAAAATACAGCAACAGTATGTATATTCAAAACAAAGGAAACCAGATGAAGTCTAATCAATATACTTTGCAAAATAGCAAATTATTTAGTGTTCCATCTAAAATGTTTTCTACGTACCCGTGATAATCATTAAACGTTTCTGTTTTAAGACTTTTAATGTTCCTTTTCTGTTGATTTTTAAGAACCCTTTAGGACAGTGGATCAAAGCGTTTTTAATCTTAGTCACCATAGATAGTTATTTTTTTTACACATTGCCTCATGCATCACAGCAGTTTGTCAGCCCTATTTCGAGGAGAATAGCAAACGCATCTTTTGTCATGTGACAGGTAACTCTGTCTGGTACTATAAAAGTCATAACAAAATGACTGAGGAAGATATGTCTGATAAATAATAATAGCACACAGGAAATCTAAATCAGTAAACTTGTCCTTTGTTCTAAGGTAGGTAATTTTGCCTGAAAATAGTCCCTTATACAAACTGAAATGGTAGAGGGAAGTCAAATCCCAGTTAATCATAAACACTACACAACAAATATATATTAATAAGCATGCAAGACTCAATCAGACATGTATATCTCCAGCTTTAGTGTGGACTTTTTTTCAAATTTTCACAACATAATTTTGAACGATCTGTTTCTTGTGTCAAGGAGTAAGCATGCCAGGTTTTCTAATATGTTGACGGGAATCGTGAAACCTTTCCATAAAGACAATCTTCAGTACTCCACTGATAGTTGGTATTTACATGATGGTATTAAACTTTTGAATTTCTGCCTTACATCTACGAGGTAAAACTTTAAAATTTTAATTAAATGCATAAATATCACTGAGTATGTCAAACTGTTTTGTAACTGTATTTTGAAAATAAAGTCTATCAATTCTTAGAAATCAACTATAGCAGTGATCCTCGTTGGTGAACAGCAAGTTAAGTAATTACTGGATAGAAGCCTGAGAAAAAATTCAAGCTTCGTCAAGATTCGAACCCAGGCCTCACGGATACTAGTAGAGCGCTATTATCAACTGAGCTACGAATCCATAGGTTGGGTGCGGTAGCAATTTCAAAGGGTTCCTCTTTTCCGTGGAGGAATTGCAGCTCACTACTAGAACTACTTGATTTTCATCCGTAGGTCAAATAAAATTTGTTTCATTTAAGACTGTGATCTGGGAAAACTGTCACACTCGCATCCGATTGGCTCATGAAAAATGAACCTGTCAAACGAGGTTTCAAATTTTTCCGAGTCTGTGAGCGTCGTCCTCAAGTCGTACACATCGGAAAGTACTGAAAGTACAAAAGTGACCTTTTTTGAACGAAACAGTTTGAATAGTTTACCGTCATGGACCAGTACCATCCAATTAGTCGAGAGACAACCTCCCAAAGACATGGATGTGTTTGAAGTATGTAACAAAAGTGCTTAAATTACATTTCATTTGATCGCATGGCGGTAACGCTTCGCAGGAACCACTGCTGGTGTTAAGAAAACAGAAGGCGGCTGTGGGCAGTTTGCTATCTCATAATCAATAGTTTAAATCCGAAACCTTTAAAAGGTTCGAAGCTGCTGTGTGCCTCACACGCACACAGCAATGAGAGCCGAACTTATCATGAGTCAGCCGTTATCCCCATCTTGTTTTACATTAGTTTCCGTGGATCTTCTGTTTTGGGTCTTTGGTCTTCATTATGTAGCACCTCTCCAAAAAAAAGGAGAGCTTTCCCCCAACATGGCCACTCTTCCGCGAAAGAAACCGAACATGAACGCTGCTTAAGTCGCCTTCGAAAAAAGAGCTTTTTAAAACGCAAACACAAACAAACAAGACCTTTGTGGGACAGGTAACGAGCAAGAATATTTTATCACCTACTTAAATCTATCAGTTATACTCTAAAACGTTTTTCTTTTTTCCCTAACGAACGAATTAGTTTTACATCTCTTTATAAATGTATGGAGATCACATTGATTGTTTTCTATGTATACTGACACTCGACAAAGCCTCATGCAATACTTCAGTAAAAATAATCGGGGAAAAAAATGATCGTTATTGACGTAAATAGAGAGATATATCAGAATAAAAAGTTTATCAATATTTCCAAAACTGATTCGAAGCTATCTGTATATTTTTGGAATTATAAGGCATTTTCCGAGGAAGAAGTCGATATCTTTCGGCAAACTTTTTGGCCCAGTCTCCTTTTACCTAAATGCTTCCTTAATATGGTTCTTAGTTCACTTTTCTCATTTTGATTTCTCACGTGGTGTCGCAATGTCTTCTAAGACATGACTTAAAATTCACACGGTTCTTATTAAAAAAAAAAAAACTAGCGCCTCTAAACGCACAAACTACTAACATTTCTAATCTATGTTAACTATTTTACAAAACCATAATTTTCTTTTCATGCTATCATTATCAATCAGAAAATCTAAGTATTCAGCGCCTTTACGGATCGTATATATCAATAACAAGTTCAGAATTCCAACCCTCTTGTACGGCCTCAAAAGCAGATCGTATGGTGTATTCCAGATATCCACCGAAATCGTAGTACGCTCTGTTCACTAAGAACACATCTTGTCCGTTCAGCGGTCGTCTCGCCCACTGCCGAATGGTTGTTGAGTTAAAGTTGGCCCCAGGCTTCTGAAAAAACCTACATCGGTGAATAATGAAAATGTAACATCCATAAATGTTCTTACAAAAAAAAAAGCGCAGAAATGAACCTGTCAAAAGTGAGCAGAGTTGGCACTCGTTCGTTGGCACCTGACTTCTCCCTCCTTCTCAAGAGCTCTCTATTAGATATCCGCTGTGCGTGACGACTGCAGGCGAAAAACCGAGGGCCGCTTGTTCGTCCACATCCACGCTCATTGCGTTTAACAGATATCAATAGGAAAGCCTTTGCGGAAGAGGAAGTCTTTGTAATGAATATGCATTGTACAAACCCGAAAACTTAGAGTATGAGTTTTGAGCCGAAATGATGCATAGCGTTTCTGTTGACGAGGAAAAGGGATTACAACTTGAGAATCGAGGGGAAACTGTCTTAAGAACATTTGAAGTAGGTTTTTGATTTAAAAGAAAAAGCAATAATAAGCGATTATTATCCTTTTTTATTATCATTTTTCAACACTGCGCTTACCAAAACCCTTCCTGCCAATATTTATACGTAGTCTCTAAAGGATCGGGAATATCACGTTGAAACTTGTACTTCAGAGCGCGTTTCAGTTCTTTGTCGATAACATCATTGGATTTAGAAATCTCCAAAAGTTTCCCCCACTTATCGCTGCATCCTCCGTTATTAGCTATTGTATGCAAGACAGCTCTTCCGCTGGTTCCATTACCACTATCATAAAAAGAAAAAGAACAGGAACAGGCTTTCGAGTCATAAGTCACAGTAATCCAATATAGTTCATTGATTATTTTTGCACGAGGGTGATATATCACTTATTTTAGCTTAATTTGCTTCATCATGGTCTAGATCGGAAGTATCAGCGTGATATTTCCCAGTTCCTAAATGTTCAATTCCTATAAGAGAAAATTTTGATGCTATTTTTCAGGTGGAATTAAACTTGCTTAATCGTAAGATATACTGGAGAATATTGAAGAACTCACCTTTTTTAACTCAGAGGGAAGTTATGCACCGATCAATTCGATGTTTCAACATTACCTGGGGCAACCCAAGGAAATTTGACTGTCGTTCGCGACCCGGAGGTGGGTAATTCGAACCTTGTCTGAGTAGGGTGTGTAATTTAATTCCGTGTAATACGTGTTTTGAATTTAAAGGAGGAGTTTAGAAGCAAAGAGTCCCCTTTTGTGAGCGAATGGCTTAGAAGAAGACTTTCACATCGCAGAATGATGCTTACAAGAGAAAAAACCAACAACGGCACAAAAAACTAAGTATGTGACTGCTAAATTCTACAACATTCGTTGATCACACGAAGAATCGTTTAATCAAAAATTGTGTTCGAGTGGGGCATTTGAACGCAATTTTGGCCCCGGGGGCGGGAATTTGAACAAATTTATAAAGTTCAAATACCCGGGCGACTTTCACCGTGGAGGACGCATTGTTTTGAAGTTTTATGGAAGATTGTTAAGATTTATGAGTACTAACTTGTAAGGCATGGTAATTCCCAAGCAGTCACTGCTGGATATGAACTTCTCCAAAGGCTCCAAGTTGTTGCTCTTTTGAGTGGCAGTTGTGTCATTCCACCATGGTTTATCATATACCGCTGCTCCATAGAAAGCAGGCACACCAACAATTGATTCAAATATTTGATGACCTGTAATATTTCGAATGACGTCACCTTCGATCTTCTTCAGAGCAGCTGGTCCAACGGTGATAACTGTTTTATTGGCTTTCACAGTTAATTTGGTAGTTTGAAGAAGAAATTTATCTCCCTCTTTGGTGATGAATGCAACTGTCTCTTTACGATAAATTTTACCGCCTCCACTTTCCACTTTTTTGGTGAGCTCTTTGACAATTTCGGACATTCCTTTGGAATTAGGGGGCCTTTTTGCTTCTGATGATGTGGAGGTAACATAATCTTCTTTCCTAAGATAGGTTCTATAACTCATTGGATTTATGGCTTGCATGTAGTCACCTTTGAAGCCGAAATTTTCTGCCATAAGCTTGGTTCCCTCCGGGGACAGTTCGTACGAAAGGAAAGTCTCCGCGGTTGAGAACTGCGTGAAATTTCTCTGATTATTATATATGAAAGCTGCAGTTTCCATGAGTGTCTGATTCCTGAGTGGCGCACGGTCCCGTAAAGTTGGAAATGCCTTTAACTTCAAATCATCAAAGCTATTGGCAAACTGTCCACGAGCTTCGACGTGTCTAGTTTTTGGGTTCCACAAGACGTAATTGTAGTTGAATAAATGATTTAAAAGGTCTCTGTAAATTAAAACAGAAATTAATTGAATCGTATTTTTTTTTCTTCTAATTTGTGTCTACGTCGTAGCTTGCTAGTAGTTTACATTCTGTTATAATCTCTCAATTAATTTTAATTTGCAATGTGATGTTATGGTCTCCATTACTGGCCCTACTTATTCGTTTCTGTTTTTCCCCTTTTTCTTGGATGAAATAAATCAGAGTTCAGTCTGCACGTGATAAACAAGTAACGAAAACTTGCCCCGCTCTCGAAATGTTGCTCAGTTGCTTGATGAATATATATCAGCGGGGAATGGATTCCAATCCCTTCGAAGTCTAAATAAGACAAACAAGTCCAGGCCGCAATTCACTTGTGAGGATCAGTTATTTTCTGGTAGCTCATCTATGCCTGGGTATCCTTATATTACATCTCAATATTTAATGGTCAGCATTTATACTCAAGGATATTTCTATGAAATGGCTCGGCGTAGTTTTGTACTCTTAACAATTCCTAGGTACCTTTGAGCATTTCAAAAAACTGTCACGATTCATATTTCTTGACCACCAGCTAAGTAACAAGTTTGACATAAATTGACGCTTACATTTCTGCATAGTTGTCACCGGAAATGTCCCACTGCCCTAAGCCTGAAAAAAGAAAAAAAGAAAAGAAAAAGTTGTCGTGATAAGTTGGTGGAGCGAGTAAACGATGTAAAATAACTTTCAGTCCTTAATTCAACGATAGAGAGCTATTGATTACTACATAGATACAGCTTGACATCTGGTGGTATGTTAAACTTACCAACTACAATATCCGGTACTTGGGGAAAAACATGGTCATAAATGTTTTCAACGCTGTCCTCTGTGTCGAAGACGCAGACGTTTGTTTCATTCGTCTTGACAAAAAGTGAGTATGCCACCAATAAGCCACCCGCACCTATAAATTGAGAGAATAGACTTTAAAATTGAAGAGATTATCAAAAGAATTACTTAATATGCAATGTCTGACTTTCTATGAAAATATCAATACACTATCTGAAAACGTGACAGGGGTATTATCTGAAAGTATTATCCTAATATGATGATAAATTCTCTTACTTCCTTAAAAAGAAATTTATGGCAAGTAGAAAAAATAGATGATTAAGAGATTTGAACAGTACACGTTTAAGATACTCAAGAGTAACGATCCCTTGCAGAATTTGATGCCAAACGGTGGTATCAAGTTCTCACCTGCTCCAACTATGGCTGTGTCGCACTCTAAAATATTTCTTTGCGGGTCCGTGGTCGGTGCTGCCGTTGTTGGCCCAGCAGTTGATGCAGCAGTAGCTGTAACTGCGGCAGTGGTTGTTGGTTTTTCGGTGGTTGTTGGAGCAGTACTTGTTGGTATTTCAGTGGTTGTTGGAGCAACAGTTGATGGTTTTTCGGTAGTTGTTGGAGCAGTAGTTGTTGGTTTTTCTGTGGTTGTTTTAGCAGCAGTTGATGGTTTTTCTGTGGTTGTTTTAGCAGCAGTTGATGGTTTTTCCGTGGTTGTTGGAGCAGCAGTTGATGGTTTTTCCGTGGTTGTTGGAGCAGTAGTTGTTGGTTTTTCGGTGGTTGTTGGAGCAGCAGTTGATGGTTTTTCTGTGGTTGTTGGAGCAGCAGTTGATGGTTTTTCTGTGGTTGTTGGAGCAGCAGTTGATGGTTTTTCCGTGGTTGTTGGAGCAGTAGTTGTTGGTTTTTCAGTGGTTGTTGGAGCAGCAGTTGATGGTTTTTCCGTGGTTGTTGGAGCAGCAGTTGATGGTTTTTCCGCGGTTGTTGGAGTAGCAATTGATGGTTTTTCTGTGGTTGTTGGAGCAGCAGTTGATGGTTTATCTGTGGTTGTTGGAGCAGCAGTTGATGGAAAAGTAGTTGTTGCTTTGTCTGAGGTTGTTAGTTGGGCTATAGTTGTTGGTTTTTCGGCGGTTTCTGGTTTTGCTGTAGTAGTATCCTGGGTTGTTTTAGGTCCTGTCATGGTTTGAGTCGTTGCCTCCGAGGTGGGAGCTGCAGTGGTAGGTGAGACTTTTACCGTCGTTTGAGGGCCGGTTGAAGGTTTCACACTGGCTTTTGTTTCTGTAGTAGTAGAAGAAGGCTCAGTTTTCACCGTTGTTTCCTGAGGAGTTGTTGGTGTCTGACTGGGTTCCGGTTCAGTTCCCTTCGATGGAAACGAAGGTTCTGTTGGTTTCTCTTTTGTGGTTACGTCCGTTTCTTTGGTTGTGCCAGAAGATTCTGTTGGTGCTCTGGTGGACTCTTCAGCACCTGATGAAATAATAAAAAAAGTTCAAACATTTGTGTAACTTTGTTTTGTTTTGTTTTGTTTTTTTTCCAGGAAAAATTATTATAAAATAACTTTTCACTTTTTGCCCTCATTGCCAAGATAACTACAAATGACTCTGACGGCTAAAAATTTTAAGCGATGCAGTGTTTGACGCTTCATAGCCTCGTTGCGTAACATGACGAGATTGCGTAACATGACGACATTGCGTAATATTTAAAATAGGACAATGTTGCGCATCATCCCGCACATACTTCGTCCATACTTCGTCCATATTTCGTACATACTTCGCCCATACTTCGCCCATACTTCGTCCATACTTCGTCCATACTTCGCCCATACTTCGTCCGTACTTCGTCCATACTTCGCCCATACAGGTCTGAGTATGGATTTTTAAATCTAAGGGAAGGGGGGGAGGGAGGAGGGGGGGAGAGTGGATTTGGCCTGTAGCCCCTAAAATGGAGTTGCAGTGGTGTTTGTAATTTCTATTTCTTATGATTGGTTTTTGACCAGGTGTAATTGATGCTCTAGTTGTTGTAGCAAAGTTTAAATTTTCGCGAAATTTTTCATTCGAAATAAGTCGGGATAGACTGGAAGGAGTTTTAAACTGTAGAGCTACATTAATTCAAAATTCAGTTGTTGTAAGTATCGCATCACAATTATAACAATTTCGTTAAGTAGCAATTACTCAGACTGCTGGTCTCGGAACAATTTAAGATCGCTACACTATCACTACCACGAGAACGTAACTTTTAGCCCGACTACTTAGTTAAGAGGCGTCTGAACGATATAAACCGGAATACAAAACTTCAATGGGCCAATATCTTATTCCAAAGATATTACATAAAACGTCAAAATCTCCAAGTACCTCGATGTTTTTCAGAGATTATTGAGATTCACACCAACAGGAAAAAGAGAATGTTATCTCGTATGTGGCATTCGGTTAAGTTGTCATTATTGCAACTATTTTCCAAAAGAAAAAAAAAAAATAACGCTTTAACAAATAAAAGTACACATTTGAAGGCTTAAAATCCAGTAACGTAGGGATAACTCTCATAGTTTTTCGTAGGGATGTAACGCATGGTGGTCCCTATCCTTTGGCATTTTCCATATTCGTTTCGAGACATCACTCTAAGATTCATGTCCCTGTACTTAGAATGATTAAAAATTTCCCCTTTCTAAAAGGTGACCGTTGGACTTCGGTAGTAGGGTAGTACTGCACGATTAATGTGAAATTCCGGGAGAAAGGAGGAGAATATGCTTTTGAAGAAAGTAAATGAGAAAAGGTAAATGAACTTAATTATAAAGGTGAGGGCCCTTTGCCGTACTTTTCACCACTTGCCTTCGGAGCGGGGTAGTATACACCATCATAACACCAAGGGCGCGTTTTTTGCCTTACCCAAAAGTATTCGCGCGAGACTCAAAATAATTTTATTCATATAAGGGTCAGAAAGGTCAATAAGCTCCATGCAGCTGACAGTTTATAAAAATAGATTCTTCTGTGAGTAGGGGGACTGTATAGACAGGACCTAGTGTTATACGGAAAGGATGCTGGGATGGTCGTTAAATGACATTTCAGTAGAAGAGGTACTACGCTTGTCTGTTACGTCCTGCTGCGCAGAAAGATTCTCGATAACAGTTATGTATGTATTGTTAGATCTGTCTAAGGACGTTTTCTCAAAGCAGCTTATCAGTCTTATCATCGCTTTATGTCTAAAGTTAATATTATTTGAGGCGCTTCGAATTAAAATTTCAAATTTACAAAATTCATTATTTTTCTTGAGATTCATTGCGATTCTTCTGTGAGTAGAGGGACCATATAGACAGAATCTGGTGTTACACGGAAAGGATGCTGGGATGGTCGGTGAATGACATTTCAGTAGAAGAGGTACTACGCTTGTCTGTTACGTCCCGCTGAGCAGAAAGATTGTCGATAACATTTACACTGACATTTATGTACGTATTGTTAGGTTTTCTCAAAGCAGCTTATCAGTCTTATCACCGCTTTATGTCTAAAGTAAATATTATTTGAGGTGCTTGGCATTAAAATTTCAAATTAACAAAATTCTTTCTTTTTCTTGAGATTCAATGCAATAAGAATGACATTGTCATCAACAATGAAATCATATTTAGGCAAATATGCTTGAGAAGTTTATCTTTACTATTATTTTTATCATCCCAAATGGTTCTGAAATACGAATTTCCCAGTGAAAATACGACAGGATTGACATCTTTTCTTTCGAGTTTGCTTAATACTTGTGCAATGTTTTGCTTCGGAGCAGTATACGACCTTCAATTCCGATCCAGTAATCTAGTATGCGATGCATGCTTCTAATCTTCATTCATTGACGGTAATATACAATATCCTTACATTTCTCTCTCTTGTCGAAGATCACTCGTTGTCTTTACAAATCATCATAAAACCTGTTACCTACAGTTTTAGTTAATAAGTTTTAGAATATAACAGTTCGCATCTGTAACATTGAAACGTGACCACAATTTTAAAAACAATTTCCTGTGTCGTAGCTCTAATTAGTTTTGGCGTTGAAAGTTCACATTTTTGATTCGATAATTGAATTCTTTGTACATTTCACTGTCATCTTTGATCATTTGATCACGATTTATTTCAGATCAATAGAATGTCCTCATGCAACGCGCAATCAAATCGTCTCATGAGAAAGAACCAAAGCTAGATCAGTATACCTGTCTGTAAAGAAACGGAATTAAAAAATGAAACAGCATTCCTTCGTGTCCACGTTACTTCAGCTCAAAGTCAACATATTTTATCTTCTTTCCTGTAGCATATTATCTCCACTTTTGAGTGAAAAATTTCAAGAAGAACAAACATCACGAACTATGTAACCGTTCTTTCTGTTTACCACATTTTAGTGGATCCGCTATGATATAATGCACGCTGAAGTTTCCGTCAACCAGTATTTCTTTAACAGAAGTCGGTTATGAATGGAAACTATTGAAAAGTTGTTAGTACAAGCTCGAGCGTACATCGAGTGCCTTTGTCATTTTCAAAAGGGTAAACTTATCAAAATGTTGAATGTTTTTCTCTCTCTCTTTAGACTCTATCAGTAAATTACTTCAAGTGAAGGGTTGCATTCTAGAATTTGTCGTAAATAAAATGATATTTACTTCATAATTGAAGGGCTTTGTCATCTAAACTTTTGTCTGCGCAAAATGCAAGATCTCTATCTCAGCGATTTAGTTCTCTGAATCTCACTACGCTCTATCTGTGACGTTCTCGTCCGACGTAAAGGTGTCAATCCCTAATTTGAGGTAGACAAAGACAATTAACACCTAACATGAAAGATCACGCAAGGAAAATTCATTCACTGTGTTGTTTAACCTGAAATCCATGCTGCACAAACTTCATTTAAATGGCAGTTGTCACAAGTTCAAAATAAAGTTGCTGGGTTGTCAGTGAGGGTCTCGCAAAAGTTCTCTCTTATTTTGAAAGTCGCAGATCTGACCTTTTACGTCTTCGTTTTGTTTTGTTTCAAAAACGGTTTTGTTTTTTTGCCCCTCTAGTTGTTGTTGAGTTTTTCTTGACCATTTATCCCGTCTGAGGGTTTCGAAATCAACTCGAGGTCTTGATTTTCTAACAGAATTGTCCTAATATCCACTGTATCCTGAGCAAGCTAAGTTGAAATCACGAAACATCGCCAGTCCTATACACCTCACGCTTATGGAAAGCTTATGAAACAAGAGCCTCCCCAAGAACATAAAATGCCGAGGCAGAGTAAATTAAACGCTTACAATAATTTACTTAATGAATTACAGAAGTCGTGCATGCTGGTAATCACATCTTGAAAGGAATTATAATCTTCGAAACCTGGTTTTTGTATCAGTCCTCAGCTTTTAATTTTGCATATATATATATATATATTTTTTCGTATAAGATAGGCTTGGGCCGGCGCTAAAACAAGAGAGGCGTGCATTTGGACCTTTCGCCACCTTGATGACAATTATGAACAATTACACAAAATGCTGGTTCCTGATAAACTCAACGTGTACAGTTACCTTTACAGCCGCCATCAGGAGTGTCTGATCCGATTCTTTTCGAGTATTTCATATCTGGACTTCTGGCAGGGCCAAACATTGCGATTATAACTACTAGTGCACCAATAATGACGATTATTATAAACAGGAATAGCAGAATATGCCACACGCGAAAAGCACATTTTTTATGGAAACAGTCGCAGCACGAGAAAGTGCATCTCTTTTTTGAATAATACTCCTGTTTCGTCATGTCGTATCCTTCTTCGCATATTCTTAACGTTCTCGAGCTGTCGAATGTCTGAATGTTGGACATTTTCGTGCGGTTTCTGTTCAAATCTAAACAAAGTTTGCTGAACTTGACTATATTATAGTGTCGCAAGAAATTTGACTCTAAGGCGATAACCCTTTTGATTTGAACGGAGCGCGCTTTCTCCGCCCAGATG